GAGAATCCCATGAGAAGCAGGGTGGGGGGAGGGGAGAGGGAAGGGGAGGAGGAGAGAGAGAAGTGGGGCACGAGTTCACTGGAAACCAGCTCACTGGAGCTGGGTTCAAGCTCACCTGACCAGGGACTTGAATTCATGAACTATGAGATCATGACCTGAGCCAAAGTCAGATGCTGAACCGACTGAGCCATCCAGGCATCCCTCCTGACTTCTTTTTTTTTTTTTTTTTTTACATCAAGTCTTTCTGGGGAATCCCGACAAAGCAGAAGTCTGCAGGGGGAATGCAGGTGGGAATCCTGGAGTTCTGGCTGACTGGCAGGCTGAGGGGACGAACATGTTGGCACACCTGAAACATACTGATGGCATACCATTTGGTAAGTTCTGAATTAGAACTTGTCTAAGCTCATGGCCTTGTCTAAAAGAGCAACAGCCATTTGACTGTATCTGAGTGCCGTGATATAGCAATGCAAGCCCAATGTTGTTAAATCTTAAATTTTTAAAGAGAAGATGGAAGTCTAGATTGTTATGTAAAAAACATTGGCAGATATATTTTTTTAGAACACTGTGAGGGGCCAAACAAAACCCATCTGTTGACCAGATCTGTCCCATAGGCCACCAGCTCACAAGTTCTGATTTAAATGCAAAAAATGAAACCACTGAAGTGCCAGCAGGGAACACATGACATTATTTTCACAATCTTGGAGTTGGAAAGACCTTTCTAAGCACAATCAAAACCAGAATCCATAAAGGACAAGACATTTAACCACATACAAATTTAAAACTTATGTGTAACCGAACACAAGGACAAGCCTAAAGACAGATGACAATAGCTTCCCCCAGCTCTAGCAGAACATGAATTGTTGCAGCCTGGGTCACATGCCTTCCTCTGTGGGGGAGGACAGTGCACCGAGTTTAACAACAGTCCCACCAGGGCCACCTGGAATGGAGGACAAGTTTCCTAATTGAACCAGAAAGGGGAAGTGGGAAAGCATCCAGGCAGGACCTTCCAGAATTGCATGCACCATCGTCTGCCTCTCAATAAATATCAGTTGAGTAAGTTTGAGTCTACAGGTCTCATACTTTAATATGTTTTGGAGTATCTAACAGTGTACATAAAAAAAAAAACTGATCGGTGATATTAAGAATGCCTTCTGGCTATCAAATGAATTATTCTTAATAACTGCTTCAGAATGTTAACATGCTCCCCTCAATCAACCCTGACCCCATAGTATATGCAAGAAGGAAGTTAAGTGTATGTGCACACCGGAGGGAGAGATATGGAAGTAAATAAAATGTAACTGACAGAATTCCCTCCTTTGAAGCTCCCATGATAAGGCAGATCTCATACTTGTTTCAGCACAGGCTGAATAGGTGCTCATTTCTCCGGATCAGTGGAATATGGACCAGTATCTTGAACACAGAATTAGGATGCTGATCTACTATATATAACATCCACATGTTAAAGAAAGGAGTTATGAGGCTGAGAGAGTATTAGATTTAAAGAAAATATGTAGCCAGTCTAAGAGGTTTGGCTTCCTGTAGAGAAAACTGACATTTTCACATATTTTACTGCATTGCAAAAATGAAAAAGATCAAGTTTATTCTTTGAAACATAGATTATAAACTTAAATACTGTCGCATCTTTGAGTCAGGGATTTCACAGTTGTTACCTGCTGCTGCTGCTGCTGCTGCTGCTGCTGCTGCTGCTGCTGCTGCTTTTGACTCTTTCGGTAAACGCCATTGCTGCCAGTCAGTGGAAAGTAACAAGTCTGTTCATCTGAAAGAGAAACAGCAATCTGTGAATATTAGTCCATAAGTAAGCTCCTAGGCATGCATAACTTGCAAGAAAATCCTACTGGAAACAGAATTCAATGTTCTTATTAGAATTAGGGAGTGGTTCTTCATCAACTCTCAAGCTGCATAAACAAACCGGCTACCATATATCATAGGGCAAAGGTACTTTCAGTTTTGAGGCTGTTACTCAAAGCCATTTCACGGTCACCTGGGTGACTTAGTTGGTTAAATGTCCGACTCTTGATTTCAGCTCAGGTCATGACCTCATGATTGGTGAGCTCAAGCCCTGCGTGGGGCTTTGTGCTGACAGTGAGGAGCCTGCTTGGAATTCTCTCTCTCTCCCTCTCTCTGCCCCTCCTCTGCCTGTTCTATCTCAACAAATAAAGTTTAAAAAAAAATTTTTTTTTTTAATTTCAAAGCCATTTCAGCAAGAAGAGATAGGCATAAGTTAATCATGAGGAGTATGAAAGGAAATAACATGTCCCCAGTGTCTACTTTTGCCAAGCATTGTGTTAATCCCTTTTTAAAATGAAAGTTCATGTAAACATTGCAATAAACTTGAAAGGCATATACTAATATCCCACATACTAATAACCCATTTTATAGATAAGAAAATGGAAACCCAGTTTTAAGTAATCTGCCTGAGGAAACAGAATCAAAAGAAAGTTAGAGTTGCACAAGAAAGGAAATCAACCAGTTGGTCTTTATATAAGAATTCAATACTTAATAAAATGTAGGCCAAATAGGAGCCAATCTTAAGATTTTACTTCCACTCATAAAATGTGTTTAATCCCCAAAGTCATTTTTGAACCTTCTCTCAAAACAGTACTGGTCAAAAATTAGAAAAAGAAAAAGTTATACAACCTGGGCAGATGGCCTTGGTACTGTCCTGTGTATCTCTAGAAACAACCTGTCTTTGGTTAACACTATCAACAGCTGTTTCCTTTTCCCTTTCTTGTATGTATTTGTAAATTTACTGCACTTATCCTAACTTGCTTTAAATAGTTCAATTTTTTTTCAAACATCCTTAAGACAAAGGATATGTTACAAATTATCTTAGCACATATTTAACAAACTGTGATACAAATGAAAACACACTAAATTTGTAACAGTTTTAGCTTGCTCTTATGTTTAAGAGGCTGTTAACTTCCAGCCTGAGGCTGAAACATTGAATATAGGCCAGTGCTATTCTGACACCTGATAAGGTCCTTTTATCTCCTCCTCCCTGAAATTAAAGTTGCTGACCACAATGTTTCCATACTAGTAGATATACAGTCACTCTATCTCCTCCCCCCAAAAAAGAACGCAACATGGATACTGCACATATTCTAGTTAAACTCACACTAGTAGAGCTCTAAGTTTTTCAGGGTCAAACAAGCTTTGGATTCCACACTCCTCTAACCAGCTACAGCAGCCCTACTTAACGCAGCTTAGCCAAGTTTCCTAAATTCTCCAACTTTAAATCCCAGTCATCGTGCCGGCCCCCCCCCTTCTCTCTCTCTCACTTTCCCTCTCTCAAATACACTTTTATTTTCCTTTCCTCTCTTTCTCTACCCTCTTTCCTGCCATTACTCTCCCTCCCCCACCTTTCTCTCTCTCCACCCCTGTTGCTGCTCTCACCTTCTCTCTCTTGACATGCAGGGCTGGCACACAGTAGATGGCCAATAAAATAGTATGTTTTCATTTAAACCCTTTTGAAGAGTCCTGATGGTCTCCCACAGGACCCTCCCAAGGAAGATGCCCCACCTGCTTGCAGACCAACAGTGCCCTCCCTGGGGCTTGTTGGTGGGGAGTGAGCAAGCAGTGAGGGGGGAGGTAGGTTGAGTTGTGGAAGAACACCAACCCTGAGAAGGGTCCTGAGTTCCCTTGTTTATTCACTTACTCATTAGGCCAGCAAATGTTTCCTGAGCATCTACTCCAGCCCAGGTACAGAGATTAAGAGTGAAGAACAAAGAGCCATCACAGAGCTTGCAAACTAGAGTTTAGCAAAGACAACACATAAAAACACATAGATGTTAGATATTAAAAGGCAATAAAGGGCGCCTGGGTAGATCAGCTGGTTGAGCCTCTGACTCTTGCAATTTTATATACGGTGGTCAGAGACTGTAACATTTGAGCAAAGACTTAAAGTGAGGAGCAAGCCATGCAGACTTGCAGTGAAAGATGGTCCTAGAATTCTAGATGATAATGATGTGTCAGTGTAAATTCATCATTTGTAACTAATATACCACTCTAGTGGGAGACACTGATTCTGGGAAGGCTGTGCATGGGGACAGGGGCGGGGCGGTTTATGGAAAATCTCTCTACTTTCTCAATGTTGCTGTGAATGTAAAACTGCTCTAGGGGTGGTGCCTGGGTGGTTAAGCATCCCACTCTTGATTTCGGCTCAGGTGATGATCTCACAGTTTGAACCTGCATTGGGAGCCCAGAACTTGCTTGGGATTCTCTCACTCCCTCTCTCTCTCTGCCCTTCTCCCCTTCCCCTGGATGTGCACACACTCTATCTCTCTGAAAATAATCTTGGGTGAGTGGGCAGTGTACAAAGTGAAAGAGACATATTCTCTCAGGGATCTGCCCCCAGGCACAGCCAGAGTCTATACAACTCAAATTCTTTGATTTACCAGGAGGCACAATCCTTTCCACAGAGACAGGTGCTAGGAAGCTACATCACCAGATTATTGACTGTTATCTCAATTATGTCTCACAGAAAAGAACAAATTCAGCCTGTGAAAGACAGTTTAGGTGCTGATGTATCATTTACACCTCTGTATGGAATAGCCACGCAACTCACATAGGTTAGGTTAGCTGGGCGCCTAGGTGGCTCAGTCAGTTAAGTGTATGACTCTTGATCTTGGCTCAGGTCATGATCTCAAGGTTCGTGAGTTTGGGCCTTGAGTGCAGCTCTGTGCTGACAGCAAGGAGCCGACTTGGGATTCTCTCTGTCCCTGTCTCTCTCTCTGCCCCCTCTCCCCCCCCCCCCCACTGGTGCTGTCTCTCTCAAATTAAATAAATAAAAAGTAAAAAAAAAAAGTTAAGTTGGAATAGAGACCTACTGTAGTCAGGAAGTTATTAACCTAAACCACTGCTAAGAAAGGAAATTAGTATATGCTTCAGTTAATGTCTCGTTCAAAGAATCTTTCTTAAAAATACAGTCACAGTGTACAAGGAGTTATGTGCAATAAAATATTGTTTGTAACAGTAAGACAACTGGTAACAACCTAATACATGCCAACACAGAAATGGCTCGATCAATCATGATACATCATGAGATGCAACAAAACATCAAAAAGGATGTTTACCTAAACAAGATGCTGAACAATATGGACAGTGTGAGCCAATCTGTTTAAAAAGCAAATGCTTTAGGGGTGCCTGGGTGGCTCAGTCTGTAGGGCATCCGACTTCAGCTCAGGTCATGATCTTGCGGTTCATGGGTTCGAGCCCAGCGTCAGGCTCTGTGCTGACAGCTTGGAGCCTGGAGCCTGCTTCGGATTCTGTGTCTCCCTCTCTCTCTCTGCTCCTTCCCTACTCATACTCTGTCTCTCTGTCTCTCAAAAATAAACAAACATTGACATTTTTTTTTTAAAAAGCAAATGCTTTATTTTAATGTTTATGTATCATATACACACAAATGTGCATGTGTGCACACATATACCAAACTGTAAATGGTGACTTCTCTGGAAAGGGACACTTTTATTCTGTACGCTATGAATCTTTTATTATCTATGTAAACAGTTTTGCCTCTAAAATATAGGGGCTTGGAAGAAAATGGACTGGCCTACAAATATTGAAATCAGAAGGTCTTCCTGAAATTTTCATACATTTTTATATTATTTCCCTAGATTATAAAGACAAAATGGGATAAATAGGGGGAGCAGTTTAAAATCCAATTAAAAAAAAAAAAAAAAGCAGAGAAGACACCAACTTGGCTGTGCAACAGAACAGGTTCAGGTTGAGACCAGGGATCAGTTTGGGCAAATTAACCCATACCAGCCTCAGTGTTCCCAGCTGTAAAATGGAGTATAGCACATTCTACAGTTACTGAGAAGACTGAATTACAGAATCCAGCTGAAATGCCTAGCCAGCTGACACATCGTAGGTTTCCAATACACAGCAGCTCTTGCAGAGCCAGGGGGTGGGGAAGAGGGGAATACAGAGCCTCTCTGGTTATTTAAGTCAGTAACATCTATGTTACATTTTATATAAGTGAAACAAATGGGTTTCATTTAGGAATGCACGCTGCCGAGGTGTTCTACACTCCTTCAGCCTCTTGCAACAACTTTTTTCAAAAACAAAAATGTCATGTATATCAAATTGCTTTTCTCCCCCAAATAGCAGGTAAAAACAATTCAAGTAAAAAAAAATTTTTTTTTCTTTCATTTTTTAAGGGCTTCCAAAACCTAGCACATTCTAGGGAAACTACTCTCAGGAGTCTTTTAAGACAAGCTGGTTGAAAGGCCAGCTTTGCAACCTACTACCTATATAATCTCAAAAAAAAAAAAAAAAATTTACTAATTTTTTCCCTAAAGTCTCAGCTTTCTCATCAGTAATACAGGGCTTCACAGGATTGTCATAGGGTTAAATTAAATGTTTGTAATATTTTTAGCACAATGCCTGGCTCATGTTAAGCACTCAGTAAAATGGTAGTAGTTGTTCTGGCTATTCTTCTGCCAATCAAAGCACATGTTTGGGAGAACCCATATATTGCTTTTCAACAACAAACTGACCTAAGCAGGTCTCCAGGCCCCATGACCATGACCCAGTTCCCAAAGGAGAAAATAACTCTGTCCAGCGTCCAGAGGGTGTGTGGATTGGTCTGGTCAGAAGTCCCCATCAAGTCTACTTCCCTTCCTGTCCCCACACAGACCTCCAGGAGTAACAGTCTCCTGGGAACAGGCAATGTGTCAGAGGTGAGTCACGCATCATACACTGTTTTCGTCGGCATTCTCCAGAAGTCTACCCCAAGCAGATCATAATCTCCCCAGG